CGAGGGGCAGAGGTCACAGAGGGCCCTGTTCCTGGGTACGGAACAGGAATCAGGGAGTGACCTCACGAGACCATTAGAGCAGCGGTTCTCAACCTCCCTCATGCTGTGCTGACCCCCAACCATAGCATTATTTTTGTTGCTGCTTTATAACTTTAATTTTGCTACTGTTATGAATCACAGTGTAAACATCTGTGTTTTCTGGTGGTCTTAGGTGACCCCTGCGAAAGTCACTTGATCCCCAAAACAAGTTGAGAACAGCTGCATCAGAGGAAGGCTGTAGCATGTTGAGTCTTGGGTTCACTGGCCTGATGTCTTACGGAGCTAGACGGGATGATTCTGACATTGTCTTATGGGGTCAGACTGGGTGACTTCCCAGCCCTCGGCCAGTGAAGGCAGCGACCAACAGTATCAGAGCTGGGTCTGGAGTGGGAGAGTGGCTCATTAAGAGCCCAGTGTTGTGGATAGCCAGTGTGCCTGGGAAAGGACAGGCAACCAATGTCAGTCAGCATCTATGGCTGGGTTTCCCCAGAAGCCAACCCTAAGAACAGGGTCTCAAGAGTAAGCAACTTGGTTGAAAAGAAGTGTCTATGTGAAATAGGAAAGGAAGGAGGCCAATACAAGGCAACTGACAAGTGGGGTTTCCTCCTGGGCATCTGGATTCAAACCCATCATGGACCTGAAAGAGATTGTGTTGCATATTCCTCCATTATCCCAGAAGAGGAGAAGGACTGGGGCCTTCCACTCTGGGTCCTATCCGTCTTTGGTTGAGGGCTGCCCAGAAGTGCAATTCCACAGATCTCCCAGCTTGCTCAGCGAGGGGATCAAGCACTCTCCATCAGCCGTGGGCTATCCTAAAGTGGAGAGTGCTATGTGCTTGCAGCTGTATTTGAGACCTTTGGGCACAGGCATGAACCCAGTACCACAGGGAATCTAAGCCAGGCACTCAGATACTGTGTGACAGCCATGATAGGGGTCACCTGGGATGCTTGGAGCCTGATGGGGATGGGAAGTGCCATGAAGCTTTCTTGGGTAAAAGGCAGTTTTGGAATATCTCACTCCTAAGCAGAAGTGAGAGGATGAAATCCCTGCACTGGACACTTTGGGGAGCTGCTTCTGAGTAATTCTTAGTAATGGGATCTGAAAACAAAAGGTTTGGAGATCTTGAGAAGGGCCAAGAAAATAAACCAATTCTGCACCTTTCCAGGGGAATCAGGGAGAAAGAGAACTAGCAAAGGCAGCAGGCAGCAGACCCAACTAAGTGGAAGTGAGGCTGGCACAGGGGTCCTGGGGTAGGTGAAGCCAAGAGCTCAGTTATACACCAAAGTTCCCACCAAAGCTGGCTCCTGCACACCGTGGTCACTGCTTTCAGGCCCAGGCAACTTGCCAGGAAAAGGTGGCTATCTGGCCTACGCCTCCCACCCTGATCTCTTCTCCTTCCATTATACCCCTGAGGTCCTCCTTATTTCTCCTCTTCAAACAGGTCAAGTTCTTTCCCGCCCAAGCCTTTGCACTTAAAATTCTGTGTGCCTGGAATGCTCTTACCTCAGATCTGAATGGAATGCCCCACTCTATCACTCAGATCATGGGCATATTCCCCATAGGGGCTTTTCTTTACTAATCGATCCCAAGTAGATATCACCAGTCACTCCAGCAGCCCACACCGCTGACGCCCCTCACAGCGCTGTCCACCAGCCCACACCACTGATGTCCCTAACAGCCCGGGGTCTGATTTTCCCATGCAGTTATCTGTCTGCTTCTGTGTTCTCTTCCTCTCCACACCAGAGCAGCAGGGTCACATCTGATCCCCTCCCCAGAGTCTTTCCACAGCCTGTCAGGACAGATTCTCAATTTACTTTTCCTGGCTGATTAAATATAAAAAAATCGCCTTTCATTCCAAAATGATACCCCCTGCCTTTTTGTATAAGAACATTCACTGAGCACACAGTCTGGACAATAAAAAGGCTCAGTGGGAAAAGAAAGCCTTGTCGGTGGCTGTTAGTGTCTAACACAATAGACACGTGGACCCTCGGGCCTGCATGCATCCCAGGGTCCAGCCAGCAGCTCACACCATTCTCTCTGTAGCTCACACCATTCTCTCCTAAGCTTTTAAGTTATAAATATTTCAAACTGTAGAATGGACTGGCTTTTCCATTCATCTTTTAGAAGGAACAACAAAAGCATATTTCTTTCTTGAAACCAAAGCCACAAATGAATTCAGAACAAGAATGTTTAAGGCTCCACCTCAAGGCAAAAGGTGCTTCTGCTGTCCTGACAAAGCCACAGCAGAGCAGCACTGTGACCCCGTCAGCCTTCCCTCACACTGTGTGGCTGTGACCCCATCAGCCTTCTC